CCTACCTAATCGTTTTGCAGCTTCATCTCCCGCAGGTGTAACAGATGCTCATGCTGATCCGAAGGTTAGACAATTCTCTTTGTTCTCCACTTGTGCAATTGCAGTACTCTTTCTGACTCTTGGTTTCACTGTGTTGTCAGGGCTGGTCTTGAGGCTCTTGAGCTCAAAGTACTTAGGACCACAAGCTCCTGCATTCCTCGCCCACTTTTCAGATTGAGAAATCGTCTTTTTATGGGGTACAATGTTAAATTGCAATACATGGATACACTCCCAAATGAACAAGTCAGATTCATAAATGTGCCTCTGATACTTTCGTCTTTGGGGGTGAGAACAGCTAACACACCACCTCCTGCTGCATCCTTGCCTATCTCTAGTAGGCAAACATTCTGCCATATATCCCTAGCCATTTTGTGTTGCGTTGGGTTCTTAAATGACGTAGGGTTACCTGGAACTTGCTACGTAATTTAGACTGATATTCAACTTGTGATCCCCTGCCTTAGCCTCCCATGTAACTGGGCTTATAGGTGTGCATCTCTGTGTTCTATTTATTTTATTTATTTATTTTTTTTGATTTTTTGAGTCAGGGTTTCTCCGTAGCTTTTGGTTCCTCAAACTCATCTGTGTTCTATTTAAATCCACTCTTAACTATAGGAGATGCTATTAACAGGAGTTAGTAACTAAAATTGCTGCATTGCACATTGCTGCCTGAAAGGTATTTTTTCAGTAACATTTCCCTTTTCCCTGCCCTCAGCCTCTACTAAACATTATTTACTATTTACTGTTGCTTCAATGAATTGGACATTTTAAGATTCCACTTAAAGTGAGATGCGATACTTGCTTTGTGTGCCTCCTTTTTTGACTGGGTATAATTAATGCCCTCTCAAGCCACCTATGCTGTTTTAGATGACACTTCATAGTCTTTGCTTGAAGTAATAGTCCATTGTGTATTATAAACAGCACAGAAGTTTTCTAATATGCCTAAGGTCATAGTATAACCCAGACCTACCTTAGGCTAAGTTCCTCCTGCCTCACTCCTGAATGCTAGGCTACTGTGAATGCATCAATTTACCCAGCCACATTTGTGTGTGTGTGCTGGGGGGTCAAGAAGCAAGAATGTTCGGCAAGTTCTCTGCCACTAAGTTGCATCTTCAGCCCTGAAGCCACATTTTTCTATCTATCTGTTGATAGGCACTTTAAAAAAAATCTGTATCTGCCGGGCAGTGGTGGCATACACCTTTAATCCCAGCCATTGGGAGGCAGAGGCAGGCGGATCTCTGTGATTTCGAGACCAGCCTGGTCTACAAGAGCTAGTTCCAGAACAGGCCTCAAAGCTACAGAGAAACCCTGTCTCAAAAAAACAAATCTGTATCTTGGTTATTATGAATGCTGGTATATTTTTCAGGTGTGGTGGTGTACTCCTGTGATCACAAAACTTTGGAAGTAGAGTCAGGAAGACCAGGAGTTGAATCGTTCTCAACTACATAACGAGTTCCAGGCTAGTCTGGACTATATGAAACCCTGGATCTGAAATAAGATAGTAATGCAAATATCTTTTTGACATAATAATTTCACTTGGTTTTAATATATACCCAGAAAATTGGATTACTGGATCACTTGGTAATCTCTTTAGTAGCTGCAAGTCTCTCCATACTGTTTTCCAAAATGGCTATAGTAATTTTGAATTCTCACCAACACTATACAAGGTTTCTTTTTTCTCCCCATCTTCCCTATTTTTTCCTTTTCTTTATAGCCATTCTAGCAGATGTAAGGTCTTATCTTTTTTTTAATATCCATGGTGGGACAGATAACATATTTGTGTCAGGTAAAAATCAGGCATTTCTTCATACTCAAAAGAGTGTGAAATGGAGTGGGGGGAGGGGGAGAGGATTGGGAGGAGGGGCAGGGAAGTGGGAGGTGGGGAGGAGGCAGAAATTTTTTCAACAACAACAACAAAGCCATGGCACATGCACAGAGTATTTCTTTTCCAGTTCTGACTTGTCTTATTCAAGTTTTTCTCTCTTTTAAAAACAATATTGACTTCAATTAAGACATTCTTGTTGTCACAAACAAAAGATGATTGTATAAGATGGTCCATCAAGTCTTCTCTAACACTTTCTATTTCTGTATGATGTTGAGAAGATTTCAGTTGTGTTTTCTTGTATAAACACAGTAACAAATCTTGCCTTTTGGTATTTCTTCTATTAGGCAGTAAGGTTCTACCTAGACAGAGTCTCGACAATTTGTCAATAAGAGGAAACTATCAGGGTGGAATATGGAGGCAGGACTAGCTGGCCTACATAGGAATTTCTAAGTTAGTTAGGGATACACAATGAGGTCTTAATCTCAAAAAAGAAATAAGAAAAAAGGAAGGAAGGAAAAAGAAAGACAAAAGAAAGAAAGAAAGAAAGAAAGACCTTTAATCCTAGCACCTAGCACTTGGGAGGCAGAGGCACATAGATCTCTGTAAGTTCAAGGTCAACATGATCTACAAGAGAACAGACTCCAAAAAACTACAGAGAAACCCTGTATTGAAAAACCAAAAAAAGAAAGAAGGGGGGAAGAGGAAGAAGAAAAAGGAAGGGATGGAGGGAGGAAAGAAGGAAAATCATAATTTTTTTTCTAGCTATGCTAAAATTCAATATCCAATAAATAAATGGTTGCTAATGAGTGAACAAGAGGAAGAGACCTGGTCAATCGTCCTCACCAACTTAGACCATGAAAGCCAATATGGACAAGTTCAACAGAACCCCATATACGGGCTGCCCGTGCCTGCTTCACCATTGCCAGGGCAGACATTTCATTTTCAGTGGGTGAACAAAGGAAGAAGAAAAAGAGAAACTTTTTAAAGGAAAGGGAGCTGTGAATGGAGAATCTAATTATTAGCCAGGTGTGGTGATACACGCCTTTAATCCTAGTACTCAGGAGGCAGAGGCAGGCAGACCTCTGAGTTAGAGACCATCCTGGTCTACACAAAGAAACCCTGTCTCAAACCAAAAAAAAAAAAAAAGAAAGAAAGAAAGAAATTTAAAAAAAAAAGAAATAATCTGCCAGACAGTGGTGGCGCACACCTTTAGTCCCAGCACTCAGAAGGTAGAGAGCCAGGTGGGTCTTGTGAGTTCAAGGCCAGTCTGGTCTATAGAGCATGTTCAAGGACAGGCTCCAAAACTACCTAGAAACCCTGTCTTGAGAAAAAAATCCTATTTATTATATTCTTCCTTAAGAGATGATTTTTCCCCTGCTGTGGTTCTGTTTTATCTTATTTCCTCTGAATTAAAACGTTCAGGTCTGGAAGGATTTGAGAGGTTCAGAAGACTCAGAAAGTTGAGGATATGCAGCAAACTCCTTGGGAAGCTGGGAAATTCGCAGGTCCTCTCCCCAGGAAAGGGCCAAACAAATCTCAGCATAATAAAACGCCAGGAACATCAACAGCATAATAGCTAATACCCAAGTTCCAGTGACCTCAAGTTGCAGGAGCTTCTGTGCACAACGAATAGCCACAGCTAAAGACCCAGGGGTTCCACCACTGCTTATTTTGTTGTTGTGTTTGTTGTTGTGCTTTTAGGGTTAGTTTCCCTTTTTGTTTGCTTTTTGTTCTGGTTCTGAGATAGGCTTTCATATAGCTCAGGCTGGCCTTAGACTCCATATGTGGCCTAGAATCAATGACTTTGAACATCTGATCATTCTTTTTTATTTTTTTATTAAAAATATCTGCCTCCTCCCCGCCTCCCAATTCCCTCTCCCTCCCTCTCCAGTCCAAAGAGCCCTGCCCTATGGGAAGTCCAAGGTCCTCCCCACTCCATCCAGGTCTAGGAAGGTGAGCATCCAAACACACTAGGCTCCCACAAAGCCAGTACATGCAGTAGGATCAAAACCCAGTGCCATTGTCCTTGGCTTCTCAGTCAGCCCTTCTTGTCCAACACGTTCAGAGAGTCCAGTTTTATCCCATGCTTTTTCAGTCCCAGTCCAGCTGGCCTTGGTGAGCTCCCATTAAATCAGCCCCACTGTCTCAGTGGGTAGACGCACCCCTCGTGGTCCTGACTTCCATGCTCATGTTCTCCCTCCTTCTGCTTTTCATTCGGACCTTGGGAGCTCAGTCCGGTGCTCCAATGTGGGTCTCTGTCTCTATCTCCATCCATCGCCAGATGAAGGTTCTATGGTGATATGCAAGATATTCATCAGTATGGCTATAGGATCGGGCCATTTCAGGCTCCCTCTCCTCAGCTGCCCAAGGAACTAGCTGGGGACATCTCCCCTGGACACCTGGGAACCCTCTAGAGTCAAGTCTCTTGCCAACCCTAAGATGGCTCCCTTAATTAAGATATATACTTCCCTGCTCCCATATCCACCCTTCCTCCGTCCCAACCATCCCATTCCCCCAAGCTCTCCCCATCATCCCCTTCTCACTTTTCTCTCCCCATCTCCCCTTACCCCCATCCCACCCCACCCCAAGTTCCCAATTTTTGCCTGGCAATATTGTCTACTTCCAGTATCCAGGAAGATAACTATATGTTTTTCTTTGGGTTCACCTTCTTATTTAGCTTCTCTAGGATCACGATTTATAGACTCAATGTCCTTTATTTATGGCTAGAAACCAATTATGAGTGAGTACATCCCATGTTCATCTTTTTGGGTCTGGGTTATCTCACTCAGGATAGTGTTTTCTATTTCCATCCATTTGCATGCAAAATTCAAGATGTCATTGTTTTTCACCGCTGAGTAGTACTCTAATATGTATATATTCCACACTTTCTTTATCCATTCTTCCATTGAAGGGCATCTAGGTTGTTTGCAGGTTCTGGCTATTATAAATAATGCTGCTATGAACATAGTTTTGCAGCATTAAATCTTTTTTTTATACAAAAACAATCAACGTGTATTTATTTAATATACATTGTAAAGGCTTAAGCAGACTTAAAAGACAAATAAAACAAAAATAACACCACAGCGTAGAAATCAAGGAAAGGACAGACCATCTAAGAAAAAAGACGACACAAGGAGAAGCTGGACATCTTGTGTCAGGGCTCTTGACTGGAGACCTGCTTTGAATAGGTTTCTTGCGGGTACTTCTTAAATGCTGTGGGGTTTTTCCAGAGCTCAGCAGCGTGTGTGTTCAATGGGCTATCGATGTTGGGTTCTCCTAGCAGGCTCTGGATAGACAGCAAGATGGTCCTGACATCATACAGCGCGGACCACTTATCCTTGAGGATGTCCAGGCAGATGTTCCCCTGGGTGTCTACGTTGGGGTGGTAGCAGGGCGTGAGGAACTTCACCGTGGGTGCGTTGTAAGGGTAGCCACTGGGGAACTCGAGTGAGAGCTTATACCTCAGGTCTTCATATACTGTGCCGGCTGCTCCATGGATGGTCCCTACCCATTTGAACAGGTTGTCTGATTCAGGGAAGGCGGAAATCCCTTTGTCACCAGACATCATGAGGGTCATCAGCTCCTGTTGTAGCCTCTTGCCCACCGGGCCCCGGGCGGCACCCCCGCTGGGCTCGGCTCCCTTGCGAACGGCGGCGACGCTGGCGACAGCTGGGTCGCGGTTTTGAGAGGCCATTCCGAGGACGAGGACGCTGGCAGCGGAACAGGAATGCAGAGACGACTCTGCAGCATTAAATCTTGACGGCACAGTATGCTTACAGATAGAACAAAAAAAATGGATTGAAGAGACCATGCACTGTCCTGTTGTGATGAGTCATGGCACTGACCCTTAGTCCATCTGTCTCTGGTATGTACTTGTAACAGCTCATTTATAGACATGCCTAGTCCTAGGCTGACCTCAGGCAAATATTAGATTGTGTCTCAGCCATTAACATTGTGGGCTCTGAATTCAGAAAAGCAAAATTAAATGAAGCCCAGTCTGAGTGAAACACTGCTTTATTTATTTTTTTGTACAGTGACTTTTATCATTTTTTGTGGTCAGTACATAAATCCCTTTCATATTTGTGAAGAATAAAGACTAATGGAGACAGAAGTCTGTCCTCCCTGAGAGATGTCACAGGGGATCAGATTCCACTTATCAACACATGAGCGCTCAGGGCAAAATCACGTGACCTGGATTTTGTTTACATATTGGGGGGGGATGGCACATGACATTCTCAGTCATTCCAAGTGGTGTGGCCAAACTGACTGTCTGAGTGACAGCAGCTATACCCTCCCCCGTCTATAGTTCCCCACAGGTCGGTCATCTTTGGAAAAGAACACCAAGAGTACATGCTACTCCATCACCATGGTCAACTATGCGCCAAATGCTGATTTAAAAGGGGCGGGGGATCAATGTTACGTTTCTTTTTTTTGTTTTTTATTAATATTTATTGAGCTCTACATTTTTCTCTGCTCCCTTCCCTGCCTCTCCCCTCTCCCCACTGCTTTATTTTTTAATTAATTTTTTGAGCTGTAGACTTGTAACTCAAGCTGGCCTTGAATTTGCCATGTAGCTGATAATGATCTTGAACTTCTGGTCCTCCTGCTGTCACCTCTGAAGTGCTGAGATTACAGGCATATGTGACCATGACCAGCTTTTTCTTTTTTTTTAATTCTAAAAAGCCAAAATATCCCCCGTTGTATTCGTTAGAAGTGATTTGGCTTCCAACTCTAGAAAACCTGGCTGCTAGGGTACAGGCTTTGCTTCTCTCAGATAACAAGGTGTCTGAAGCTCTTGGCTGTTAGGGATTGGGTTGAGTATCTTAGCTGTACCAGAGTCCTCTGCTTCATAACCTAATGATCACACGATGGTTGCAACCCTACACTTCGCATGAAGTAGAGGGAAAGAAATGGGTTCAGGAGATTCGTCCTTTCATTATAAAACAAAACTTTCCCAGAAGCCCTCCCAACAGGTTTCTACCAGTAGTTTCCAGTTAGCAAAAGGCACTCAAGGGAAGCTAGGAAATGAAGGCCGAGTGACAGTGAGAACATGAACTGCTGTGGGGTAGCCTGCAAGAACGTGAGCATATGTGTTAACTGTTTTCTTAATCAAGTCTATTCAGTAGAACATGGGACAGCAGAATGAAGGAAATTTTTGCAAGGATTCTACCTGAGATGACCACTCAGACACAGTATATAGCTCATTGAAAATCCTTATTCCAGCCTACTAGGACTACACTCAGGGGTAGCCCTGAGCATTTAGACCGAGGGCTTTTAAAGGCAAAAACCACATATTGTTATCTCATTCAGCTGCAGAGGAAGTTTGCACAAGTAAGCAGTTTTACTGAAGCTAAGATAAGCTATTGGCTAGAGGGGGAAGTTTGCACAAGCAGACAGTTTAATATAAACTAAGATAAGCTGTTCGCTGGAGGGAGAAGTTTGCACAAGCAGGTAGTTTAGCAAAAGCTAAAAGAAGCTGTTAACTGGAGGGAAGGTTTCCACAGCAGGTGATTTAACACATGCTAAGTTAGCTGGGGCATTTTGACCTCAGGTTCCTAGAACAGGGGTGGGTAGTTTTCCAGGGTATTCTACGTAGAGAACCTGTCTCAAAAAGCAAAAAGTTAAAAGTAAAAATAAACAAAATAGAGGTTAAAACAAAGCTGCACGAAGATGGAAAATACACAGAGAATCTTGATACTGTATGCTATTATGCTCTGTTTGAATTGTTTAAATGCTGAGGAAGGAGCAACAGGTGCTAAAAGATATTTGTTTATAAATGTTGCTGAACTAATCCAACATAGATATTTTAAAAATGCCTTGACTTTGAAATTTGGATCTAAGGACATGATGCTTTGGAAAGGAGAGAGTCTGTGAATTTCTTCTATTCCAATATGGTATGATGGACCACGCCCTCCTGAAGGTTTGCTGTGAATACCTTCAGAAAATTGCTTCACTCAACTGCCAACTGAGATGAAACTAGCACACAGGTTATACCATGAAAGACCTAATTAACGACGCCCCCATTCAGCAGAAAACAGTTTGGAAAGAAAAAACTGTGCCCATGTTCCCAAATATGGTTTATAAACGTTCTTTTACATTTAAAGGGGGATATGATATAGATATGAATAATTTACATTAGTATAGATTTTGCTTTATTGATAGAGATTTAAGGTCAATTTTGTTATATGTATATGTATTTCTGATCTTTATTAAGGTATTGTGATTGTGTAGTTCATTTAAAAATATAATGTATATAGGTTGTTATTGGATAATCATTAATAATAGTCAAGTTTGTAGTCATGTTAGTTAGATTTTCTAGATATATAGATATATATATTTCAGTTAGATCGGCATTCTTCATATCTTTGAAAGACTACGGAATATGCTATTAAATTTTTTAATAACTTAGGATTTTTCATGACAATGAGACATGTCTGCTCCTGGCAGCACCAATCTACTTCAAGAAGAAGATGGGCATCGAAGAGGATCCTTATGGAGTTTGATAGCCATTTGGGCAAGAAACTGCTCTTGCCTGGACTATTGCATAAACTGGACATAGAGAACCCACAGAGAGAGTACTACTGAACTTGCCTAAAGGTGAGATGATCTTTCAGGGTTCCTGATTCATGAAGGAGTCTGAGAGACATTCTGCAGGACACAACAGATAGTGACTGAACTGACTTTGAAATTTCCTGCTTCATGGAAATGTCTCTGGATACTATGGGCCTGGAGGCCAAAGATGGATGCCCCAATGGTACAGAGAAACTTTGGGTGACTGTCCAGGCAGCGAGATGTCTCTGTCATTTCTAGAGTTTGTAATTGCTTACTTCTTATTTACTTAGGTAATATTATATTCTTCTGGAGTCTCTGATGGTGTTAAAGAATAGATAGATAGTTATAGTTGTTTTCCTTAGTTATGATAATGATAAAATAGATGTAAATATTGTAATTTTTACTTGATAACTGTTTTGTTATATGTAATTTTGCTATGTTAAGTTAAAGACTTCCTTTTTTTGTTTAAACAGAAAAAGGGGAAATGATGAGAAAGGTCATTGGTTAATTATAATAAAGAAACTGCTTGGCTCTCATAGGTTAAAACATAGGTGGATGGAGTAAACAGAACAAAATGCTGGGAGGAAGAGGAAGTGAGCTCAGACTCGACAGCTCTGCTCTTTGGAGCAGATTCCATGCTCCCCTCTCCCGAGCACATGCGATGAAGCTCCAACCCAGGATGGACATAGGCTAGAATCTCCCTGGTAAGCCACCTCTTGGGCTACACAGATTATTAGAAATGGGCTAGTCCAGGTGCAAGAGTTAGCCGAGAAGAGGCTAGATATAATGGGCCAAGCAGTGTTTAAAAGAATACAATTTGTGTGTTGTTATTTCGGGGCATAAGCTAGCCAGGCGGCCGGGGTGCTGGGGATGCAGCCCCGCCGCTCCTATTACAACACAGGAGACTTGGTGGCATGCACCTAAGCAGGCAGTTCCTGATCATCTTCAGCTCTAGCTTCCTAGTGCCAGCAGGTCACTAGTACTAGTACCCTGGCAAACAGCTCCCTCAGTCTAGCCTTATCCAGCTTTACCCTGCTACCTCTTGGAGGACTTTTCCACTGTCCAAGCAGCTACAAGCTATACTGCCAAACACTGTGAGTGTTTGCCTGGATGGGGCAGGGCAGTGTACATGTGTTGGTCTACCTTGGATCCACTACTTCAACTCTAGAGGTAGTTGCTTCTTACAATGCTTTTCTTCCACTTTCAGTGTTCTGCCAATCATCCTTTGTGGGTGGGTATGCAGGGGTGGGGTGCATACAGGTATGCGCATGTGTGTGTATAATTCAGAAAAAAAATTGGATGCTGTGGTAGTTTGAATGTAATCGGCCCTCATAATTTCATAGGGCATGGCACTATGAAGAGGTGTAACTTTGTTGGAGTAGGTGTGGCCTTGTTGGAGGAAGTGTGTCACTGTGGGGTGGGCTTTGAGATTTTCTATGCTCAGGATACCACCCATATCTCAGTCAATTTTCTGTTGCCTGCAAAATGTAGAACTCTCAGCTACCTCTCCAGTACCATGTCTACCTCCACAGCAACATGCTCCCCATCCTGATGATAAGAGACTGAACCTCTGAAATTGTTAAGTGAGCCACCCCAATTAAATGTTTTCTTTATAAAAGTTGCTGCGGCCACGGTGTCTCTTCACCATTTTTTCCCCTGGCTTCTGTATAGCCAAGGATGACCTTGAACTTCTGATCCTCCTGATTCTACCCCTTAAGTGACTGAGATTACAACCATGCCAGTTTATGCAGGGCTAGGAAGAGAACCCAGGGCTTCATGTATGCTAAAACCCTAAGACAGAAGTATAGCTCTCAGAAGTCTTCCACATTTTTTTTTATTTTGAGATAGCATCTCTCTTGGGGTTGGAACTTTTCAAAGCAGGGCTAGGCTGCCTGGCCAGTGATGTGTAGGGTAAGCCTGTCTCAGCCTCTCGTCTCTCTATCATGGGGACTACAAGTAGACACCACCATCATTGGCGTTTTAGAGGGGCTATAGAGGGGCTCTGGGGATCTGAACTCAGCTTCTTAAACTTTCAGGCAAATGTCTTACTGACAGAACCATCTCTCTAGCCCTCCATCCTTTTAGTAATTATCTTTTATTATTAATTCTTTACATAAACTGTGTTCAAATTATTGGTATGGATGCTATCTCCTTATTGTACCCTAGTTGATTAACCTGACAA